GCCCGGGCCGCCTCCACCCGCGAAAATGGCCACCGCCTTATGACGACACGGAGTCCCCCGACGCTCGGCGGGCGGCGACTGCGGCCACCGCCGGGCCGCCCCTCGCGCGCCGCGCCCCTGCCCACCTTACCCCGCTTCTCCGGCTCTGCGACGCTGAAGCACTTCCTTTTTTCCTTCAAAGGTCGCGGCTCGCGCCTCACCTCACATCCGTCTGCCGAGTGCTTCCTGGGAATTGTAGTTTATAAGTGGGCCGCCTCTCCCCGCCCTTTCCTACTTATTCTGGTCCCTTCTGTTCCAGGAGCTTTACTACGTATTCCCGCTTCCCCAGAGACGCCTAGTCCCGCTCTCCGCTTTGCAGCCACACAGACCTCCTTTTGGACGCGCCAAAGCTCTGTGCTCCTCCCCTGCACAAGTCTCTTCCCCTCTCTGCTTCGCCTACTTACCCCTGTTCATCTTTCACATCCCCAATCCTATGTCATTGCCTCAGCAAAGCTTTTCCTGAGCCCCTATCCTAGGTCAAACCCACCTCGTAAATGCTATCATATCTGTGTATATTTCCTCAACGACACACCCTGTATCATTAGACAGTAATTGTTGTGCTTACTTTATTAATGTCACCTTTCCTGCTCAGATAAGCCACATCAGGGCAGGGACCTGGTCTATATTTGCTTATATTTCACTCCCAGAGCCCGGCATTTCCTAGATATTCAATAAATATTTGACAGAGGAATTCAACTTCCATTCATTTGTCTGCTCCCAGGGATCCACTCCCACAACTTGACTGAAACTGCTGGCACCGAATTCCTTCAATGACTTTCTTAATTGCCAAATCCGCTGCCTTTACATTTAATCCTTATTCTACTTGACATCTGAAGAGCTACTGGCAATTCATGGTGGGTCCAAGGAAGTGTCTCTCAGAAACTTGGAAATAAGATTGACCTCTACGAGTTAAACTAGCAAAAAGCAACAGCTAATGAATGGAAATCTGTGGGAATTTGGAAACCATCAAAACTCACCCAAGGTGTCCTGGGTAGAATCTCAGATGGGAAGAATTGTACTAGGATTACAACTTGAAAAACAACAAGAGTTATACTTTTCGAGAAAGGAAGGGGTTTGTTGGCAAGAAAGTGTTTAAAATACAAGGTTTCAAGAGGCTAACTCTGACAAGGATATCCTTTGAGAGTGCCTTCAGCTGGGCCAGATGAGAAACTACATAGGATCAATTAAATACTTGTTCTCATTCTATACTCGCTATGTAACCTACTGAAAATTTGCCTTCTCTTCATGCAGAACTACAGTGAGAAAGGAGAATGCGCTAGTTAGGCTAACTGGAGCATCTAACAGTTGTATTTTTATTAATAAATCGGCATTCTGGTATATATCTTGTATCAATGTATTTGTGAACTTGGGTTAAAATCTGACATATATAGAAAATCAGTATATGTGACCTGGGATAAAAAGAATCTGTTCCTGAAAGATAATGACACTCGAATCAGGGCAAGTTTGAAGTTTTGGGAGGCAGAATTTGGTCAATGGAGAATTCACAAAGGCCAATGCCTCATTGTCGGGACCTGTCTGGGAAGCCATCCTTCCCTAAGTAACACCATCTGCATCGTCAATTATGTACCTTAATGTTTAAAACTGCACACTGACCACCAACACTCTGTTTCTCAAAACTTTCTTCTCTTGACCTCTAGGATACCACTCTCTTATTCTCTGCTACTTCTCTGGCCATTCCTTCTTTATCTCTCTTTTTTTTATTGATGTCTTAATAGTTTATAACATTGTGAAATTTTGGTTGTACATTATTGTCTGTCAGTCACCATATAAATGCCTTCTTTCACCGCTTGTGCCCACCCCCCAACCCCCTTGCCCCTGGTAACCACCATACAGTTCTGTCCGTGTGTTGGTTTATATTCCACATATGAGTGACATCATGTGCTGTTTGTCTTTCTCTTTCTGGCTTCCTTCTTAATCTCTTCTGTTGAATCTTCACCTGCCTCTTAATGGGAGGATTCCAACAATTATGTCCTTGGATCCCCTTCTCTTCTAGTTTTATGCTCTCCGAGAGATCACTTCCACCCTCATAGCTTCAACTGCCATCTACATATTCTAGATCAGTGCTGTCCAATTGAACTTTCTGTAATAATGGAAATAGTCTGTATCCATGCTATCCAATACAGTAGCCACTAGCCATATATGACTACTGAGCATTTGAAATGTGACTAGTGCAACTGAGAAACTAAATTTTTAACTTAATTTAATTTTGTGTGTGTGTGTGTGTGTGAGAGGAAGATCAGCCCTGAGCTAACATCCATGCCAATCCTCCTCTTTTTGCTGAGGAAGACTGGCCCTGGGCTAACATCCGTGCCTATCTTCCTCCACTTT